ACGTAAAAATATCTCTAATGTTAAACACCTTACGATCTGTGCAAATGTTTTGCATGAATAAATCGTAAGATATATTTAAATGACATTTTTAACGTAAAAATATCTCTAATGTTAAACACCTTACGATCTGTGCAAATGTTTTGCATGAAATAAGATATATTTAAATGACATTTTTAATGTAAAAATATCTCTAATGTTAAACACCTTACGATCTGCGCAAATTTTTTGCATGAATAAATCGTAAGATATATTTAAATGACATTTTTAATGTAAAAATATCTCTAATGTTTAATATCTTATACGATCTGTGCAATTTTTTGCATGAATAAATCGTAAGATATTAATAAGAAATTTAAATATGACATTTTTAATGTAAAAATGTCATTTAAATATCTTACGATTTATTCATGCAAAAAATCTACGCAGATCGCTGTCATGCGATTGTTTAACTGTAAAATGGAAGATGTTTGTAAAGGGTACTGTATATTGGCCATTATAAAATATCTGAGAGAGAGAGAGAAAGAAAGAAAATCAAATAGAACTAATATAAATATTTCTCAATCAGTTTAAAATTATTTTTCGAAGAAAAACTGATGTTTAAAAATGTTAATATTAACAGGCTGGTTCGCAAGTAAGAATCATCTCTCGATCGAGCGCTTTAGTAGAACCCGACGACTTTTTCATGTATGCAAATTATCTTTTTTACGAAATGAATAAAAGGAGCAAGGGACTGCACTTCTTTATCTAATTAAAGGGCGGGACAATCTCGGTATAAGGAGATAGCACACAATCGGGGGGAGAGGATTTATAATTTTTATTTTAATTAATATCACACACGACGTAAACGTCATTTGCATGAGAAGGAGCTTCGTATATAAAGCCGAAAAGATCGAAATTGGTTAGCATGAGTGTTACGATCGGTACTTGTGCTTACAGGAACCGCCGTCGATCGAGGTTTTCAAGAGGTTTGCACTGAATACTGGTCCAACCAGATCGTAAGAAGGCTGAATGAAGAGAACCGCGAAGAAAGAGGACCACGTAGAGGACAGAAAAACGACCGAGATCGAGTCAAGAGCCTTTTATACGCACCGCGCAATGTTCATTCAACGTGCAGGACATACTGTGCCAAATAGCTGCGTAATAAAACTGAAATAAAACGATCTTGGACTGGTCACCTCACGTAAATCTCACGTAATATGTATAATATTATGTATACCGAGATTCTGACAGATATATATATAATCAGATTAAAACAGGCGATTTTACGAGATCTACATTTTTCGAGAAAAATATAGATGACATTTTTATTTGTAAATATAATATCAAATAATAAAAGATTAATCATTTAACGTCCTCTTGGTTTAAAGAAAAAATTTATGCCAAAAAGTTAATATTAAAAGTTTGTTTCCTATATTACACCTAAAATTTGAACAATGTAACTCTAATCAGTAACTAATATTTTTTAACTATAATTAAACGGAGAATTCTTCGTTAAACTAGCTAAGATTTAGGCATGATAACTAATATTTCCATGTATAGTTTGTATAAAAAAGATGGTTTAGTTTAAGATAGCATAATTTCGCGAAAGATTTCTAAAATTAAAAATATCGCGTTTATATTTTCCGCAATTAATTTCTCATATCCAAAATTTGCTAAAAATTAATGATCGATTTACCGAGAGATCTTCTCTCAATTATTTCAATAAACTCTCTCAATGCTCAACGGGGCACAAAGAAAATCTCTGGGGTATTCAACGCTAATTCTATCGAGTATACTTGATGGATTAAGTGCTGCCAGGAAAGCGCGTGTCGGAGGATATCGGCCAATTTAAATTCCGCATGAATACTGCATCATCTTAAATGGGTTACTACGCGACGATCGATATGCTAACATGCACGTATACAATATACGATCGATCGCGTCTCGTGCGTGCGATCTTTTCGTCGGACAGGTAATGAGTTCGTTGTATGACTGGTTCCGCTAGTTGCCGGACCGGATCTCGACGACGACGACGGACCTAATATGAAATAATGGCGTGAAAAGTGGATCGAACGCTCGGATAAAGCGTGTAAGAGGCTTTCCTCGAATCCTTGTACATTAGGATTTTTACGTCAACGTCTTTTTTTAGACCATTGATCAAACTCTCGCGGCGTTTCCGATGTTAATTATATTTATTATTATTGGAAAAAAAACTGAAAATGTTTTACTTACTTTACAAGATTCTTTAAATCATCAATCTCTGTAATCAATTTTTTTTTCTTAAAGAGACTAAAACCATTAAAAAATTGGTTATTTAAAACGGACTTTATTTTAATAACACTTTTTTAATTCAAAGTTTAAAATATTTAATACTAAAAGCAAAAGAAGGACTTTTTTGGAAATTGTCGGGAAGAAAGAAAAAAATTCTTTCCTTATGTTCCTTAAAATTGTAATAGACCGAGAATACTTTCTATATACATTATGTAAAATCAGAACTTAAAAAATAGATTTCCACGTGATATTTCGGAATAATAAATGAACTGTTCAATAAAATGAGTAATTTATATATAAATTTCGTAGTCTTTACTCGTTCAATATCTACGTGAAGACTACGCAGTAGTCTTATTCAGTAGTAAAAGACGCGATCGATTATCCGCGATCGCAGATCGCGCGAAGTTCACGGATGGTAAAAAGGGAGAGAATCAGTGGATCCGTATTATTAGACTTTAACGAGCAGCAGAGAGAAATCAGGGAAAGAGATATCAAAGGAAAGGCGCTTGATGAATGGCTTCGATCAGACCTTATAAGAAGCGGTTAATCTCAGAAGGTGGAACGGATCCTACGGGCTTTGCAAGATTTATCGTTTCATCTTGGGAGCACACCACACGAAACCTTACTCATCTTTATCTATTTTCCCCTCGTATCTTTTTTTCCTCCGCGATGAAAGAAGCGAGAGAACGGCTTTTCCAATTTCTAGTTTGTCCTATTCTCAATCGCGAAATGCAAATCTCGCGCGAGCGTAAAAAGCGATCGGCGATTAAAAATTGATTCGACGCGCGCAGAGTGGCGCAAAAAAATGGAATTTTATTTTACATTCCCGAACAAGTGGATTAAAACGGTTATCAATTTCTAAAGCGGATGACGTGCGTATCCTGGAATTTTTTCCCGAGACACATCGACCGGTCCTTTCTCGATTGTGAGCGACGTTACAGAGAGAGAAAGAGAGACTACTCTCTCCTTTTTCATTTCTCATCTCGGCAGAAGAAAAAGGATTAATGGCCTCATAGCATGACATCGCCGTGTGATAAGATCGCGGGCTTCCTTTAACCGTCGGCTGCCGAGCGTCAGCGATCATATCGGCGACATCCGAATCGCATCGTGTATCTCTTTAAAGCAGTACGCGAGACAGGCTTTTATCGATTCGTGATTGTGCACGGGCGAGTTTCTCCGCTTGCTATGCCTCGAAAAAAACCGCTCCGCTGCACACTTCGTTCTCGTTTACGAACGCATTGATCTCTCAAGTTTGAAATTTATTATAATAATTTATTCATTTGAAATTCAATTTCCGAATTTCATGGAAATGACATAAAAAAAAATCATTATGATCTATTAATTAAAAGTAATGTCGTGCAATTGAAAAATGCATCGCAATAATAAAAAAATTATTTCTTTAATTCACAACATTTTTAAATCCAATTTAAAAAACTACGAAAACCATATGTAATACGCCAAAAATCTCCGAGAGCAATTTCGCGGATACGACGCGCGAGCAAAAAGTATCGTATAGATTGAATATCCGAGAAGAACAGTAAATCCCTCGCGCACGGTCTTCCGTGAAAGAAAATCGAAATTTCACGGGCGCGAGAGCTCGCGAGACGAGATCTACTCGTAAAAACCCATCGCGTACTCGCATTCAAGGGGATAAAAGAGATATATATATATATATGCGAGTAGGCGCGCGAGATAATAGCTTGAAATTCGCGGCGCGCGAAGAAGACACACCGTTGCGCCGGAGGGTAGCATTAAAAAAGAATAGACGTTATCGTGTGCATTTTCCTCGCACATTGCGCGGCTTCGAACGGACCTGCTTACAAAAGCGGAGCGATTCCTATTTATACCTGTGCATGCTCCTGCCAAGACATGTGCACGCTCGACTTCGCCGGAAGCCGTCGTCTCGCGGATGCATAAATTCGATAAGACCACCCGTTAGTGAAGGTAATGTTTCTTCTCTCGCGTAAAGACGGTAGAGGAAATGGAAGAAAATATTTCTTTGAATAATCCTTACTCCCTTTTTTTCTTCAACTACCCCATCCCGTCTCTTTCCATTTCCCGCCTTTTTTTCTCTGTCGGCGCGTTTAATTTCATTCGCGAGATCCACCGGAAGCCTCAAAGACGGTCAGACGAATTTCACGTCTGCGGTATCTTTCGCAAGCTGGGCAGCAAAGCGCTCGTTATTGTCATGGCTTTAAATTGCTACTCTTGGTATTACGACGCTAAATAAATCCTCGAGGGACACCTTGAACCGCGCGCAAAAGGCGCGCGTAATTAAGTTGATTTTCGGAGAAGCGTGTAATTACGGTCCGAGGAAGTTTACATCCAGAGCCAGATGACCGGAATAAAGACGTCGTACAGTTGGATCAATCGATAAATATTCTACAAAAATTTTCAGGGCCTCGATATTATATGCAAATGTAATTATTATAAAGAAATTGCCGACTCATATGCAAAATAGATCTATCACGCTAAAAATCTTGAAAAAGTCGGCAAAGAATAATTTATAATAATCTGTATTAAATTATTCAGGACGATAAAAATATCCATCGGTCCAGCAACAACAAAAATTATTCAAGATCCGCATCTCTCGTGCAATTTTGCAATATATGTATACGTACTGCTTCCTATCTCCGGACGCAAACGCTTTTTCTTTTTAGTGAACCGTATGTAATTCATACGGATATATTCAAAAGTCCGAAAAAAACGTATCAGAAAAAAGAGAAAGTTTATGATTGATCTGCACTCACCGGTCGCTTTTGCGGCTCCGGGCCCTGCCTGATGATCTCCAAGGGCGCAGGTATCGAGGGCTTGCCAAGGTACCAATCCTCTCGCGGGCTATAATTGTCCAGGAGCTTCAACAGGCGTGGCACATTCACGTAATTATCGTCATCGAAATGGCAGAACCATCTGAAACACATAATAGAAGTACAATATAATAAATGTACGTATTCTGGCTTAATTATTCATATATATTGTATGTTATTAACAGATGTATTATTTCCTGCGTAATTTTTTTTCATAAAAATTATCTATAATTTTACTTTATTAAAAATTTAATCATTTCTATATTTTTGTAACGAAACACATTAACATACAATTACGATATGATAAATAAATGTTATAATTATTCTGTTCTGTTAATTATATTCACGTTAATTACGCATGTATTATTTTCTGCATAAATTTTTATAATTTGAACTTAGATCATTTTACTTTATTAAAAATTTAGATGCTTCTTGGCAAAACAATACGCAGCTCTCTAATTTATGCCTATAATAATATTCTTTTCTTCGAAAATCGTGTTCTAGTACAAAAGTTTTCGAATTCTTCAAAAAATATTAAAATTAAAATCCATAGGACTTTGAAAATATATCTAGTAGATGCATATAATTATAAATGTACCAAATTAGTAACAAAAGAATCTTTATATCAGTCTAACAATAAGTATTGACCTTAGATAAATCAAAATCTGTTATATACATACATATATATATATAGAGGTATATATACTAAAAATAAAATACTTGCAATTTTTACAGTAACAAGTGTAATTATTACGACAGAATTTATGTATCCTTTCTTGGAAAGCAAAAATTAATAATTCAACGGATGCGTCGACCTTCATTTATTTACGCGTAACACCTGCGGAACCGCTGTTGGAATTTCTCGATAACGAGGATGCCGCTTAGAGCGCAGAATTCAAATAAGAGCATAGGGACGACCCGCTTTGCTTATATTCTCGCGGGATTATTCGCATCGGCGTGTTTCCGCGGTTTGCTGCGCGCGAGAAACACACAAAGAATATAGATACTCGTATATACGAATCTGTTTTTTACTCGGAAAAAAATAACACAATAATTAGAAAGATGGCAATAATCTCGAGACTGACTTATGAAAACCGCGAAAGCCTCTTGCTAACATCCTTATTATAATTAATATATGTTCTCCAACTAAAACACGTGGAGATGGTAATTAGATAATGGAACGACAAGATCTCAGATCTCGTTTCTTAAAATATCGTAAGAGCGAAAACCTTTCGACCTCTTTTTAGCCCAAGTGTGACAGCAGCTGACCAACATCTCCGTAACCCTTTCCCACCGACTCCAGGAGATAAAGGCTCCGTGTCAGAGTCAGTAAACGTGTAGTTGAGATCGCGAACGTCTAAGATAGGCGAAATGAAACGAATCTCTTTCTCTCTCTCTCTCTAACGAACAGTTCCTGCCATTAATGCGCTACCGGGTGCCCACGGGTGGTCGCTACGTACCTGCGGCTCAGCATCGTTAATACACCTGAATTCCAGCTTAATGGCGTAGCCGGCTTACAACGGGAGAGGGATCCGCTCTCGGCCGAGGACGTTGCTGTTCCTATATGCGCGAGATCGTATCTCCCGGCGTGAGCCAGAACGGTGTTTGCACTGTTCGCGATCGGCGTTCGGTGCGTTCCACCCATGTGCAAACCAATCGCGTCTGATGCAACAATATGAAGGAAAAACATTTTGTAGAATCTTCGGATGAATCGGGATTGCTATTGCATTCCTAACATGCGGAGCGAATTTTCTCTTACAATTTATCCTGAAAATTATGGCAATTGTGGAACAATTGGAAGAATTTTATAAGAGCTTCTCTGATACATATTTACCACAATAAACAATATTAATAATTTATCACAATAAGATTATAAATATTTTTTATGGTAAATATTTATCGAAGAAACTCTTACAAAAATTCTATTACCATGTTGAATCGGGATTGCTATTGCATCCCTAACATCTAAGTGGAGAGAATTTTCTCTTAGAATTTATCCTGAAAATCATGGCAATTGTGGGACAATTGGAAGAATTTTATAAGAGTTTCTCTGATTCATATTTACCACAATAAACAATATTAATAATTTATCACAATGAGATTATAAATATTTTTTATGGTAAATATTAATCGGAGAAACTCTTACAAAAATTCTATTACCATGTTGAATCGGGATTGCTATTGCATCCCTAACATCTAAGTGGAGAGAATTTTCTCTTAGAATTTATCCTGAAAATCATGGCAATTGTGGGACAATTGGAAGAATTTTATAAGAGTTTCTCTGATTCATATTTACCACAATAAACAATATTAATAATTTATCACAATGAGATTATAAATATTTTTTATGGTAAATATTAATCGGAGAAACTCTTACAAAAATTCTATTACCATGTTGAATCGGGATTGCTATTGCATCCCTAACATCTAAGTGGAGAGAATTTTCTCTTAGAATTTATCCTGAAAATTATGGCAATTGTGGAACAATTGGAAGAATTTTATAAGAGTTTCTCTGATTCATATTTACCACAATAAACAATATTAATAATTTATCACAATGAGATTATAAATATTTTTTATGGTAAATATTTATCGAAGAAACTCTTACAAAAATTCTATTACCATGTTGAATTGGGATTGCTATTGCATCCCTAACATCTAAGTGGAGAGAATTTTCTCTTAGAATTTATCCTGAAAATCATGGTAATTGTGGGACAATTGGAAAAATTTTATAAGAGTCGGTCTGATTAATATTTACAATAAACAATATTAATAATCTATCACAATAAGATTATAAATATTTTTTTTGTGGTAAATATTTTGTGATAATTGTAGGACAATGTGGTATTGAAAGAATTTTATAAGTCTCTCTGATTAATATTTATCGCAATAAAAAATATTAACAATCGATCACAATAAGATCAGAGAAACTCATAAAATTCCATTACCATGATTTTTAGGGTAAATTCTAAGAGAAAATTCTTTCCGTGTAGCGAGATCAAAATTTCATCTCATCAACTCCTAATCAATAAATATACGCCCGATTAAAGATAGAGAGAGATCCAACATCCAACGCAAATAAATATCAAAAATATATAGTTTCTTTTTTTAATAATAGCAGCATATTTAAACAAATAATTGATTCACTTTTTCATAATATATTTGAACTTTCATTAAAGTAAAATGCTCTCTTAAATGGAGTAAGGAAATATGTATGCAATAATTTTGAATGAGAATTATATATATATATTCCATAGAAGGAATTGCAATGTATGTAAAATCAGAGAGGATTTCGTATCTGCATATATATTAGAATCTGTCTGCAGTAACGTGTAAATTCACAAAGAGGGCGAAACTAATCGAAAGAAGAAAACAGAGATATGAAATTTCTCCTATTTCTTTTCTGCACACAAAACGCAGATTGCGTGGAGTTCTTATACAGCAAAAAATATCGTATATATAAATATGGAGATACGTACGTACATTTCAATTAGATTTAACTTATAATGAACGAAACGTCGCTTTTTGAAAAAGTAAATAATTAAGCAAGGCGAATTATTTTCTCGAGTACAATTAAGGTATGTGTCATATAAATCGCATATTTTCCAGATAATAAAATATTCAATTTAAAAACTAATTTTACCTGTCTCTAAAAATATACGAGAATTACGTTTCTCAATAAGCTAAGCATGTTGATTCTTCAAAATCACTTAAAATCGGGACGACATCTTTAATTAAATATAACGTCTCGCAATTATGCAAGAATTGGCAATCATGCAGATGGAAAAACAATTAAACACTTTCTGTTTCTCAATGAGTCGTCGGCATTGACTCGAATAATCAACGAATCGAATGTGATAAATCGTCCTTCATATCCATGAACGTAACAGATCCGTATTCGGTATATGATTTCTATTAAGAGTAACGCTACAACACACTCGTGTCATTAATAATACACATCCGAATGTCGATAGATATTAATGACTCCTCTCAATGGATTCGAAGGACTTAAACGATTGTTCGAAAATACTTTGTCCCGTAATAAATCACGGTCCTCTTTGCCGCAGCAATTAAATTTAGACGATTTTATTTATGGAAATTGTACAACGCATTTGTACAACAATCGTTTGCGAGAGCGCACGTGTTCGAAATAATCAGAGAGGCAGATAAAATTGACATTTCCCTTGGACTTAATGAGACATGGGTGCGGCGCATTATTAATTACCGAGTAAACGACCGATTTACTTTCACGAGAAGGTCGAGGAGACCGGATGTGCAAAAATTGATGGAATTACTTTCGTTTCAAACACGAATGGAATATTGTTTCGGAGCGCTGTCTCGATTTTGCCCCAAACCGCGGAATTCGATCGTGCGTGGATAAATATCGTAAGAAAGAACAAGTTCCAAGGTTCTTGTGGGTAAGAAACCTCCGCAAGTAACGCCTCATTGCTTCGAAAAATGTCTGCATCTTCTGAAAGAATATAATCCCGAATTTACAGCGCGCGATGGATAGTAACATCAAGTAATTTACCAAGTAACACGTTATTCACATAACTCGATACTTTTACATCTTATCAATAATCGTCTTATGACTTTCTTGATATATATTTTCATCGATATTCAGAAAATTCGACTTGTTAATTAAGTCAATATTTTTACGTCTTATTAGTAATCGTCTTATGATTTCCTTTGATATATATTTTCATCGATATTGAGAGAATTCGACTTATTAATTAAGTAAATATTTTTACATCTTATCAATAATCGTCTTATGATTTCTTTGATATATATTTTCATCGATATTCAGAGAACTCGACTTATTAATTAAGTAAATATATCCAGAGAGATAGAATATTAGTTTCATCATCTCCGATTAACTTAACCGATTAAATTAAAAAATTGTCAACTGCAAAGCTTAAAATTCATCATCTTCACCCATCCAGACATCCTATTTTACTTGACAATATATTATTGAAAAATCTCACAATTTTTTTATTATTAAATATTTTATTTTCTACTTTTTTTATAATAGATAAAAAATGACAAACTAACACAGGTTTGGAAGTCTTGCTTGGCAATTCTATAAGAAATTTAATCAGCCGA